TATACATTAAATGATTATCTTAGATGGCATTATTTAAACATAACCTCACAGGACATTTGCCTCGAGCAAACTGCAAGAGAAAAGCTGAGCAATTATGCACCTCACATATGCATGAGCGTACAACAAGTTTGCACATGTAAGTGTGCTTGGGCAGCTTCACAGGCTTCAGCATTTTCAGAGCATATGGACACAGGGCAGCAACCCAAACCCATTAAGAATGCACTAAGCCAGCACTTTTAAACTGAAACAGTCATTTTTCAACAGACTAAAGTTCAATTTATCAGTGGGTACAACGCATACATGTAATCAGAAGAAAAATACCTGGTGGTACTCTCACCATAGGCACAGCACAGCAATTTGATGCCAACTACAGTGACCATAAGGCATGCAGACTGCCCTGAAACCATCCTAGATTTTTTGTTTCCTTATAACTGACTCCCCACATTTGAGCCTGTCAGAACAGTTGTACACTGCACTATATTGATACAAGAGCAGAATAACAACAAAGAGAATATTTCAGCAATGCATTCAAGCTGTTCCAACCGAGAGGCAAAAACGCTGCTCAACCCAGTAAGACATCAAGACCACAGCACACAGTCATTAGAACTAAATACTGAGCAATGTCAATAGAAGCATGCATGCCTCAGCATTCATATTATTCTTAGGATCTCCTAATCTTGACTCTGTCGAACTGTATGTTCCATTTGGAATTGGTAAAAAATGGATTTATCCTTATGGCTTTGTAAATGTTTCCTGCAACACTGGATACCTAATGAAATCATTCTGTCATTCTAAACATCACATTTAGAAGATTTGACTGCTGAAAAGGAAAACACAACTCAAGTGCAACAATTGCAAACATGAGAAGGAAGAAACACATCATGCCAAACTAAAACACACACAACCTACAAACAACAGCCTTCATTTTATGGTATGAAATCACTTCTAAGCAACTCAGAAAGACCATTTTCAGATGGTTAGCAAAGTAGCAGCTTGTTGACTCCCAGAGAAAAGAGCAGATTCCGATACTGTGGGTGTTCAAATCCAGCCACTTAATACCAATAGAACACAACTCCAGTTTATTGCTTCCCGTTGGTTATTCTTGAATAAATAGGCTTTTAACATTCCGCATATTGCAAGCAAACTCTGTATTAACAAGAACTAAACCAAAAGCCCCAGGGACAGAGGGCTTCTGCCTGGCCCCTTGCTTGCAGCAAACTGGCTGCCATTCAAAACCACATCACCCCCCTCTCATCTTCACTTTGCAGGACGTTTTAACCCTGACCTAGAAGAAAACAAATGTTTTTAGACAGCAAACCCACAAATCTCCACTGATGATTTTAATTCCAAACTTGTTGCCCCTGCTGTGACAGGTCGCTGTAACAGCATGGGGATTAGGACACCTATTAAGCAGTTGGGTGACGTTTTCAGATTTGTTTCCTGCAGTCCTGCAAGCAGCTGCTGCACATCACAAATCTTTGTCCACTTGTAAATTGAGTTAGGTGATCAGCAGCAGCCAGCATGTCATGGTTACAAGTAATGAGATTAATAAATGAGAGAGAGATTTCTACAAATAAGACATTTCCTTGCCTTCTCTGGTTTGGAACAAATCTTCCTGTTTACTTTTGCCCAAAAATCTTATCCCACTGCTAACTGCTTTTGGGGGATTCAACCTCAATCCTCCTCTAACGTCTTTTCTTTCTTACACTGTATTTATTTGACACTAACTTCACCTGCCCAAACCACATCCCTGCTCCAGAAGAAATTTATTTACTCTAAAAACATAATAATAATAAAAAAAGGCCCTTTACAAATCCTAATTAAAAATGAGTATCTTACTACTTAGATACTCGCTTGCTGCAGCCTCAGACTTTGCTGCTCTGCTGTGTTTGCTGTGCTTTTCATTGCATTGCACAGAGCTTTCTGGGAAAATGGAATAATACCCAGCATTAGTTATTTGGTTTTTAATTTAGTCACATATGTGTGGCATGCTCTTCTACTTCATAGTGAGGGTGTATTCTTACAGGATAAATGCTTGGGAACTCAGCTGTGTGGCCTGAGATGCTTTAAGACTAAGTAGAGCTTTAAGAAGCTTTTTAGTTGTTTGTTTCCCTATTGAAGATGCACTTACTGACAGCGAGTGCTAAGGCTTGTTGAAGTGAGACTTTTGACTAATATTAAATGACTAATGGTGCTTTTATGATCAATTATTGAAGCCTGCATGGGAGAGGAGAGACTTCCAAACAACTGGTTTGTAAGTAAATGTTTAAGCACTGATGTGGTGCAAAGTAACCTCTCCAACAGCAGACTTGTGAAAGCTGTGTAGAAGGTTTTATTTTCTGCCCTAGTATTCCTTCTTGTCTGCTCTGAGCTTTCCCATAAAGAGGCTGACTTATTTTCATGTCTTGCTTTGTCAAAGGATGTTTTGCCAAAGGCTGAACCTAGCAGAGCTTTGCTCAGCAGTCTCACCATGTTCTGTTGATTGTCCTTGTAGATGGCACCTGTCTTTCTACTGCCTGCATCAAAAAGCTGCTTGCTAACTTCATCTGAATGGAGTAACTTTCTACCCAGAATTTTGGAGGGCAGATAAAAAGAATAGATATAAGAGGGCTGGCTTTCAATTGCCATGAACTAAGCTCCAAGAGGAAAACATCAAAAAGAAAGGTGATAATAGAGCTGCATTGTTTGCTTTTTCTTTGCCTGAATGTGCATGAAAGATGTATGTTTAGGTTTAGAAAGGAGCTGTCTACAAGCTTTCTGCTAGCTAAGGTGTAGGAATGAGCTAAGAAGGGCTGAGCAGGTTCTTGGGATGTATGGGTTTAGGAGTGCATTTTTCTTATGGGACTTAAAGCAATGTGGAGGAGGCCGATGTTGATGTGGAAAGAACAGAAGAACAGGAGAAGCTGATGTGTGGCAATGAGGGTTTCTACAGGTGTCAGCTATTTTGATCCAAACCTTAATTTTTCTTAGCATTTATGACAGCAACAGTTCATCTACTCTGCTCTTCCCCTGCTGAGAAATGTATGATAAACCTTTTCCATGCTGTGCTGGTGTTGTATGAGAGGAGGAGAAATAATTTATGAGCCTGCTGGAAGAATTAACGCCTTCTGGGGATTAAAAAAAAAAAGTGTATTGTTGATAAGACCTACATAAGCCCCAAATATTCAGCAGAGGTCTTGAGAGAGGATGTGCTCTGTGAGTGGCATGTTTGTTCAAGCATACGTCTTCCCCAGCCCTTACTGGGTGACACTGGAGGAACATCCCCTTGCCATTACAGGTATAAATGCCAGAGGGAGAATCCCCACTGAACCCCAAAGTGTGCTTTCCTCTTGAGGAGCTTACTAGAAGGACTGCAGCATGGGAGCAGGCTGAGGAATGGCTTGTTTGAGATGATGGAGGAGACTCTACATGCGTGGTCTCTTCTGATTCTCAGGCTCCTTCCCTGTTCTGCAGTCACCTCCCAGCTATTCCAGCTCTGTGTTTCTGTGGAGGATGGGCAGCTGGCACTGGGTGACACCACATCTCTCTCTTTGTTTCTGATGCATTTATTCTATGAAAGCAAAGCAGCATGCTGGGTATTTACAGCATTGCTTGGGACATCTTCTGTCAGACTTGTAATGCAGTGAGACAGGCACAGTGCTGCTTCTCTTCTGGAGGGAGTGGGAAAGGATTCAATGCACTTTTTTTCCATTGATTTATGTCCTACACTGAAAATTGATGATATTCCCTCAGATCCACTCAACCATTTGAAAGCAAGCAGCCTCTTTGATCAAGTGTGTGGGGAGAAGTTAGGAGGGTACCCAGCTCTGGTATGTGATGCTCTGTAGGAACTGTTCCATTCACCTGTGCTGTCAGGCTGTATTAGCCAAACACTGTCCATCAATTTTCTTACTGTTACGGAGAATAGATGTTGTGGAGAGGAGTCATGGTTTTATTTCTATCTGTGAAGCAAGGAGGGGTAAAGGAAACTGCTTAAAACATGATATAGAAAGAAAATTTCCATCCATGTTACTTCTTTCAAACGGATCTACCTGTATCTCAGGTCCTACTTTGTCTGGGGTAGCAGTGTGTCCCATCTTCCAGTAAATGCTTGCAAAGATCATACATTAATAAGGAGCTGAGGTAATTAAGTCCTATAGAGCTTCTTATAGCCCCAGTGTCTGTAATAGCTGTGGTAAGAGATTGGCACAGAGCAGCTATCTGAACACTCAATCAGCTTCTTGATTGCTTTCACAGCTCCTGTGGGCTTCCAAGTGGCCAACATAACCCTTCTGTTCCTATCTGTGTGGGGAAGATGCAAGGTCTTGGTTTATCTGCACTGGAGATGTACCCTGGGGTACACAGGTAAAGGTGTGAGCAAGCCCTGTGCGTGTGAAGTACAACAGATCAGAGCAGGCGTGTGTGTAAAACAACACCATTCCCATGGCCTTGCTGGAAGCAGTGAGATTTAAAAGCATTTTAGTGAAGCATTAAGAAGTTCAGTTCTGTTTGTTTCAGCTCAAAGGTGGACAGGACTGTCTGTGAGCTCTGCTCCCTGTTAGATTGGATTCCTCTTATGGAAACTGTTTTGTCTTCACAGCAGAAAACCTGGTAAAGCTGAGCTAGTATTTCTTAGACATGCATGGTTTGATCAAATCTTGGGGTTTTTCTTCGTAGAGACTCAGATCTACTCAAAAAGGAAAAACAAAACAAAACAACTAGATAAGAAGCAAGCCTTTAGTAAGTCCAAAAGCTTTAATTCTGGAGCTTATCCCACTACATACACATTGCATATATTGAATGTGTTCATGTGAATGTGTCTGTAGCTGCAAAGAGCATTTGTGCTTTTCCTGAGAGCCGCTAAGGGATGAATCTGGTTCTTCTTCCACGCTGGATTTCGCCGCCTCCAAACTTAACCTCTCCAACGCTCGTAAAATCCTTGCATCTCCTCCCGAGGTAAATCTCTGTATGTTACTGCTAGAAGTTAGCTCTACCTCACCCACATGACTGGTCCTCACTATTAATCCCAGCTGATGGCAGGGAGGGGCTCTTCTGGGAGGCAGCCATGTGGTGAACATTGAGCGCAGTGTTTTCCCCCCGCTTCTCTCCTTTCCTTTTCAGACGTGCAAAATCACTCCGTGCTGCTGTCGATGTGAACTCCTTGCTGCTCTGTCCCTTCTCTTCCAGAAACTCCAGGCCCTGAATCAGCAGCTACAGATCTGCGAGCTCTCGCTGTATCTGGACAGAATATGGAAAAGGAGATGAATATCAGAAGGGAAGAAAGAGTGAAGTTGGTTATTTCTCTGGCACATGGATGCAATTACTCTCAGCGCATTCCAGAGGCGTTCTTTTGAATCCTGTGCAGGTCTGCCTGCCGTTCCTGGGAGAGAGAAGGCAGAAGGGAGGAAAAGTCCCTTTCTCACACGGAGACGGAATGTCTGCACTTTCCATCCTCTTTTTAGGTAGGTTGGCTTTTTGGTGTTTAATCGAACTTCCATTTGCCCCTCTTTGTGCGACTGAAATGCGTTTCTAATGAGCTGTTCGGATCTGCGAAGGAAAAAACTTTTATGGCAAACTCCGTTTTCTGTGTTTGGGTTCAGTGCTTTTTGTGCTGCTTTAGTTATTAGCAGGTTGATGGCCGGGAACCTTTTAATATCCAAATTTGTTATGTTTGTTTTTTTGTTTAGGAGTAATGGTCATACAGACCCCTCTCGGAATGTGTTTTTAGTTTAAAAAGGGCAGCGTTTTTGAGCAGCGTACCATGAAGGGGTTTGAAGCTCTTTGATAAAATAAGGTGAACAAAATGTCTTTGTTCCAGGCACAGTGTCAGATTTGTAGAACTGTTTTGCTTTGCTCAAATATTTAACATTCAGGTTTTTAGAATAAAAAAGGGTTATTGTTTCCAATTGATGCCTCTGATTAAAAACAGATGTGTTGAAGTGCGAGAGGGAGGAGTTAAGGGGGGAAAGAATGGTGGAAGGAGGGGGAACAAAAGGGAGACAGCAAGAAAAAGGGAGGGAAAAAGGCTGCTGAAATAAAGGGGAGGAAAAGGTATAAGTTAATGGTTGAATAGGAGCAGAGAATGGGAGAGGAGACTAAAGAAAGAGAATGGAAGCAGAAGGGTTGAACAGGGCTGTTTGTCTTTACAGCCTATGGGGAAAGGGTTTGCAGTCCTGAGGTCTGTTGGGGAGCTTGCGTATGGGACTGACTCAGAAGCAGTCTGGGTATCTGCATCTCCAGAGGCACTGGGATGTGATGAGTGAGCTTCTGTCTTCATTCTGCTCACCACACAGTGCTGACAAGCAGACAGCTCTGAAATCTGTTGTGGCTGAGCAAATCTGTGATTCCTGGGTCCTCCTCCCCCCCAGAACCCCAGGTACTGGTGTGAATGGGGCACAGGTCTTTGATTTCCATGGAAGAGCCAAGTCCCACAGGGTGATGGGCTGATGTGTGGGTGGACACATAATAAAGGCTTTAGACAGGATGATAGGAGGAAATGCAATGGGGAACAGCCTTCGTTCAGTCTCACAGATGTGAAACATGGACCTGCCAGAGTTCTAAATATGCAGAAGGCAGGTGGGTTCTCATAGAGGCCACGTGTTGAAGGCTTGGAGCAGGAGGGATAATCTGCTGCCACAGGATGAGTGTTGTAGTGATAGAGCAACTCTCTTTTGTATGACTGCTGCTGGTTTTATCCGGGGGACACAATGGCCTTTAACCATTCTTCCTTCTTTGGGATCTCTGTAATGCTTACAAGGCAGAAGCCCAGCAGAGAAGACAAGCCATGCCTTGAAGAGCTTTTGCATCTAAGCAAACATCTGAGTTCCTCAGTTTCTCTAGTTGTTGTTCCAGCTGTGGCAAGGGAAGGATGAGCAGCTTTCCAAAGCTCACAGCCAAACCAGGAATGCCTCATTTCCTGGTGCTTTGTTAGTGTTGAACTGCCCTGTGATTTACCCTTGTTGTATTTGTGTTGTCAATGGGCAACTTGGTCATCCAGCTTTCGATCCAGCTTCATTTACTGATATTGGAAGCATATTTTAGGGATCATGAAGTATTGCTGTCTGTGTTCCTGGCTTGTGCCTGAGAGAAAGCAAGGAGATAGGTGTCTCCTTTGCTAGCCTGAGAAGGTAGTGAAAAGATGTACAAGTATCATTGAGCATGTGCTTTTGGTCACTGTTGAAGTGAAGAATTGTGGAGAATAGGAGTTTGAAGCCAAGGAAGCCTCAAAGGAAAGTTGCTGGCTCAGAACATTCATATTGATAGTATATATATGGTCCTTGCCTTTGGTACTGTTTACCTACAGGGTAAGTAGGCAGCTGTGTGAGGAGACAAGAAAAGGAGACAAAGAGTTGGAAGGAGGCTTTAAAAACATGACAAGAATGAAGACTTTACTAAATGTGGGCTGGGCAAGACTGTAATCATAGCTCTGTAACAAGGGCAAGGTGGAGGGAGCAGAGAGGAGCCAGAAATCTCCTTTGCCTTTTCCCACCACCCTGTCCAAGTCAATTTTGAGTATTTTTAACAAATCTTCTGCTAAAGATGTATTTGATTACAAGAAAATAAATATAGTTGTGTGATATCTGTACACCTACTTTTGACTCTGGTTATTACATGTATCACTTATTGGCTAGTGTATGTGCTCTGCTTTCAGAAAGCAAGGGGTTCAAGATCCAAACGAGGAGATGTGCCAAACCAATGCAGGCATTCAGCTTTCATGTGTCCTGCTACTGAGATGGGATCTTTGCATTAGAACATCAGGGGTTGCTCTCCACAGTGCCCTAATTGCTTCCTCTTGTCCATAGGAGTTCTCCTGCAGGAAAGAATGGCCAAGAGTCTTTTGTATCTTAGCTTCAGCCTCAGTATCTGCAAAGGGGCTGTCTTCATGGTTTCCCTAAAGCTGAATAGCCATTAGGATGTAAGGAAGCCAACCCTCTGTGATATAGCACAGATAGATGCCTTGGGAACCAAGGCTTTGCTCCTTCTCTATGTGGCATCTTTGGGAAAAGATGAGTAGGATTTAGTGACTGATGGTACAGGGAATTGTATGTACCACACTGAGGCTGATGGATGGGGTGCAGGTGATAGCTCTGATTTGTGCACTTAGTCTGGCTTATGATATGGTGTGCTCAATGGGTAGGAACTGGTGTATTACACAGGAGTGATTCTGCTGAAGTGGATGCAGCTGTAATGGCAGAACTGCCTTCTGTGCAGGTGTAGCTGAGCTCTGTTCTCCCAGCTTTAAGGTCAGTGACTCTCTTACAGGGTTGTCCCAGAGGTGCACAGTTGCTGCACTGAACACCAAGACTTGATCGTCTCACTGTGCTGGGAAAGGTTATGGTGCAAATCCCTGTAGTGCTGTTGGCATGAGCAATTGGGTCTGACAGCATGCATTTGCCTAGGTATCCACCAGACTTCTAGCCTGAAAATCCTTGCTGAAATGGGAGCAGCTCTGCAGCATTTGGCAGTGGCAGGTCAGCCTGGGGCTGTGCTTTTCTACATTGACTCTCAGACTTCTGAGACTTGCTTCCCCTCCTGCTTTAAGAGCGCAGGCATCTTGAATGGTGCCCTGTCATGCTTCCTTAAAGCCTTTCTCCTGAAAACTGCAATATGTTCCAGAAAAGCCAAGAACCACTGCATTGTTTAAACAAACAAACAAACAAAAAAACCAGCACTCCTGCTTCCAGCGGGGTTACTGAACTTTTTAATAGACTGCTTCTGCCTGAACTAGTAAAAAGCAAGGGAGATGTTTTAAGCAAATGGAATATTAAACTGATGGGTCTTATTTCTGCTGCTGCTCTGGGTACTTCCCAAATTTCTGAGGGTATGGATATAGGATACACTTGCAACCTCCTGGTTTTCTCATGGCTCTTTCTGTTGGCTTTATCTGTTTGTTTCACGGGGGTATTCAGGTGGGGCGAGGATTTTGTCCCATGTTTTAACAGCACTTAATTCCAAGCTTGGGATTGGAATAGGAAAACATAAATCTGTGGCTGTCAATAAGGCTTCTGTACAGGATTCTGCCATTGGATTTCATCTTTTCTTTCATTGGGTTATGAAGGAATGCAGGCGATCACTCTTGGTGCATCAAGCCTAAGAGGAGGCTGTTCTTCCAAAGTCAACTTCATAACAGCTGGTAATTGCAAGAGCTCATTTTTTTTCAGCAGTCAACAAAACAGCAACTGGATGCAAGAGCTGCTGGGAGGAGTGAATTTAGCTCTAGGACAAGGCCAACAGCTCCTTTCTGGAACAAACCCTAGGGAAAGGGAGCAAAGAGAAGATGTGTGTCCATTTGCTGCCCCAAGGGGAATTCAAGGAGGCAAGACAGAATTGAGTGAGCTGCTATTTGATGGGATATCAGAGTTAACACTTCTTCTTGTGGGATGCAAATTCTTTTAAAGCCAGGGTGGGTTTGCATCACATTTCCTACCAGAGTACTCAGTAAGAATGTCCCCTCTGTCCCCAGCAGTGCTGTGTTTTACATGAAAGTGTTTGGATTTCTAGCATTTAGAAAACCTTAGCTTTACTTTGAGGCCTGGTTTTATCCCTATTTTTCTGTTTTACCATAAAAAGAAAAAGGGTAAACCTCTGGAGTGGGGGAAAGCAGCATGCCAAGTTAGGGTTGAAATACTGAAGTCTGATCTCTTAATCATGAGAAATAGTGTTGCTGAGGGGAGGCAAGCTTTCTGAATTTCCCATGTGAAACAATTGGTGTTTGGCCACTGTGCCCACAGCAGGCCCTGTTTAAACAGAATTAGTGGTCTGTTTCTGTGGGGCACTTGGGGCCACTTCAGAGGGACGTTTTGTGTAACGGCAGAGCAGGCTTCCCAGCAATGCCTGTCATTGCACAACTGGCTTGGAGAGAGACCCTGATGTTTATCCTCTGGATCACAACAGATGCCCCTGTCTTCCTCAAGGCAAACACAGGACTTTATAGGGAACTTAACAGGTTTGCAGCCTGAGATTTGATTGAGTTCTTAGGAACTGCCTGAAAAGAAATGTAAACAGTCACCTCCAACAAAGCACAGTGTGTATTTGCAAAACCCTGCTTTGTGTGGAAACAGATTGTTATGTGATGCAGAATGTGTGTGTTTAGTAGCAATGAAGAGAGGTGTTACAAACTGCTTTCTGTGCCTCTTCCCTGCTCCCAAAGCTTTAGTCCAAGGATGGTTCTGGTTTCCAGCTAAAGCACTCCCCTCTCTTAGCCAAGGCTTGTGTATGTTGCACAGTGCAGACCTGAGTTCTATACGTGTGCAAAGAAAACTTGGCTCTTGGGGATGTAATGTTGTGCATATTCCTTGCACCAATGTGTTACAAAACAGAGGCTGCTTTGGGTGCAGTGGGAACTTGGCCGTGCCTTGTCTGAAAGATGAATGGGTCTCCTTTTTTCCTCAAGCTGTTTCTTCATCTGTTTTTAGAAATGGTTATTTTACAGAAGCAGCCCAGCAAAAAGCCAAGGGTGAAG